TGAAAAATTGAAAAACTGAAAAATCGAAAAATTTAGAAACCGAAAATTTGAGAAACTGGTGTAAGAGTTATCTAGTTATCTTATTTTATAAAATTTAAATAATATTTACTAATATAAATTTTGGAAATGACGTTATCTTATATGGTGGGGATAATTAGCCAAATTTTGTTTAACGTTTTACCGTCTAGAAAATGTTAAAATTCGGAAAATTTGAGAAAAACAACAATCGAAAAAGCGAAAAATTGAAAAATCGAGAAATTGAAATATCCCATTGATATGTCGAACAATTAGGAAATCGAAAAACTGAAACATCGAAACATTGGAAAACTGAAAACTGGAGAAATCAAAACGTGGGAAAATTGAAACACCGAGAAATCGAAAGTCGAAAAGTCATAAAAATCGAGATTTTTGAAAAATCAGGAAATTGAACAGTCGATAATCGAAACGTCGAGATCTCGATAAAGCGAACAATCGAAAAATTTGAATATCAAAAAATAAAACATTTAAAAAATCGAAAAACAGGAAAAATCTAAATCCAAGATGTCGAAAGAACGAAGAAACGAAATCTAAAAAAATTGAAAAATCTAAAATTTTAAAATTCCGAAAGTTGAAAAATCGAGGAAGTGAAAAATTGAAGAATCGAAAAGCTGAGAAGTCAAAAAAATCGAGATTTTCGAAACATCAAAAATTTTAAAAATCGAAAAATTGAAAAACCGAAAAATCTAACACCAAGATGTAGAAAATTCGAAAGAACGAGAAAACGAAACATCAAAAATTTGAAAAATCGAAAAATTTAGTAACCAAAAATTTGAAAAACTAGTGCAATAGTTATCTTATTTTATAATATTTACTAATGAAAATTTGGGAAATGACGTTAAATTATGTAATGGAGATAATTAGCCAAATTTTGGTTAGCGTTTTACCACCTAGAAAATATTAAAAATCGGAAAATTTGGAAAACAGAACAATCGAAAAAGCGTAAAATTGAATAACTGATAAATTGAAAAATCCCAAAACTGATATGTCGAAAATTGGGAAATCGAAAAACTGAAACATCGAAAAATTCGGAAAATTGAAAACTCGACAAATCAAAACGTCGAAAAATTTAAACATTGAGAAATCAAAACATGAAGAGATCGATTGTCGAAATTGAACGATCGATAATCGAAACATCAAAATCTCGAATAACGACCAATCGAAAAATTTGAAAATCAAAAATTTTAAACATCGAAAAATCTAAAACCAAGATGTCGAAAATTCGAAAGAACGAATAAACGAAACATAAAAAAATTGAAAAATTTAATATTTTAAAATTCCGAAAGTTAAAAAATCGAGGAAGTGAAAAATTGAAAAATCGAAAAATTTAGAAACCGAAAGTTTGAAAAACTGGCGTAAGAGTATCTTAATCTTAGTTAGCCAAATTTGGCTAGCGTTTTACCATCTAGACCATATTCCTAATATACATATAAATTTGACAGCAATCGGTCTAGTAGTTTTGGAGATTATATCTGTAATAAATATTTGGACAGACGGCAGACGGAAACCGGGCCTATTTTTTCGTAATCTAGGGGTCATGAAACATGGAGAAAACATTAAAGTAGCCAGTCGTCCAATGGACTCGATTATAATACTTCCTTAGCTGACACTCAGAAAGTAAAAATATTCGAAGTGCCCCCTTTTAACTGTCTCATCCTGCATATAATTTTTAACTTGTAGGGGTTGTACTCGTATAATAAAGAAAATTTCACAAAATCAAATTTTATCATTTTTCGAAGAAGTTGCGACTGTATGTCAGGAGCGAGGGAAGTTCTGTGTAAATATCTTTTTTTCTAATTGTGTATATGCGAATATTATTGTTTATGACGGTGAAGATAACAATAATTATGCAATGCAGATGACGCGTGCCGCTTGGAAATCCGCCTAATTTTCATGGTTGTATGTAACAGGATTCAAGAAAAATTAATTTGACGAGGTTAAATACTAACACAAAAAAATTGGTCTAAAGAGTTTAGACAGTACTTCCCTCGCTGTCGGAAACTTGGCGACTGCATGCCTATTGTGTTTTTTTTCTCATTACATTTTTGTAGTGGGAATTTAAAAAAAAAAATGCGATGACGTCATCAACATTTTTGCAAGGACACGTATATCAGTTGGGATAGATGTAGTGTAATACTAAGAATAAAATTATTATATTCTCAAATTTTCGGGAAAATGAATTGGGTCGTTTTGAATATTGATTTCTAATAATCAATAAAATAACGAAACAATTTACTCACGTATACATATCAGAGGCAACTGAAAATCGTGTATGTATAAACATTCTTAATTTAAGATGACAGGCGTAACAGCATACGTGAGAGTCAAACAAAGAAACTGTAAACAAAACGACAATCGGTTTTATTGCGTCGACTTCCGCTTATTATATAAAACATTGGATTTTATTTTAATTTTTGACGGTGGAATTCACAATTGGTTGATTTAAAACATGTCTATACCACATTCGCGGAACCTAGTCAGCTATGTTTCAACCGAGTTTTAACTTTAAAAAATTTTGTGTCTACCAAATTGGGTTGGTCCAATGTAATACTAATAATAAGTGTTGCCTTTAATTTGATCAATAAAATAAATTGACTTCATTAATTTTTTTGAGCCACCCTTTAAGAAAATCTAAAAAATATGAATGGAATGATAAATCACAAGTACAAACTCATCATATTTTCTGCATTTTAGATAGGATTTATTTAGCAAAATTTAAGGGTGACGTCACCAATTTTTTTAGAAGGGATGAACAAATACATTTTGAACAAAAGTTTACCATGCTTATAATAACTTTAAAATATCTCCAAGATTTCAAAGCATTCGGTTTTGTAATTCCTGATTAAATCGATCAAATAAATTCACGCATTCATTAATTTTTTTGAGTCAGCCTGTATATGCAAATCCAAAAATATGAATGGAATGATAAACCACAAGTACAGACTCATCATATTTTGTACATTTTAGATAGGATTTATTCAGCAAACTTTTGGGGTGACGTCATCAATTTTTTAGGGGGGATGAGCAAATACATTTTGATAAAAAATTTACCATGCTTATAATAACTTTAAAACATCTCCAAGATTTCAAAGCATTCGGTTCTGTAAATCCTGATTAAATCAATAAAATCAATTGACGCATTCAATAATTTTTTTCAGTCACCCTATATATGCAAATCGAAAAAATATGAACGGAGTGATAAATCACAAGTACAGACTCATCATATTTTTCACATTTTAGATAGGATTTATTCACCAAATTTTAGGGTGACGTCATCGATTTTTTTAGGGGGGAAGAGCAAATACATTTTGATAAAAAAATTACCATGCTTATGGTAACTTTAAAACATCTCCAAGATTTCAAAGCATTCGATTATGTAATTCCTGATTAAATCAATAAAATAAATTGACGCATTCATTAATTTTTTTCAGTCACCCTGCATATGCAAATCGAAAAAATTTGAATGGAATGATAAATCACAAGAAGAGACTCACCATATTTTGTACATTTTAGATAGGATTTATTCGGCATAATTTTGTGGTGACGTCATAAATTTTTTAGGAGGGACGACCAAATACATTTTGATAAAAAATTTACCATGCTTATGATAACTTTAAAACATCTTCAAGATTTCGAAGCATTCGGTTTTGTAGTTAATGAGTAAATCAGTAAAATAAATTTTGCGCATTCATTAATTTTTTTGAGTCACCCTGTATATGCAAATCCAAAAAATATGAATGGAGTGATATATCACAAGCACAGACGCATCATATTTTGTACATTTTAGATAGGATTTATTTGGCAAACTTTTGAGCTGACGTCATCAAGTTTTTGGAGGGGATAACCAAATATATTTTGACTAAAGATTTATGATGCTCTTTAGAGCCTTAAAACATCTGCAACATTTCAAAACATTCGGGTTAGCAGATTCAAAATTAAATTGCAAAATGTTGTTTTATAATTTTGATTTTTTTTCCAAAAATCTGGACGTTTCGGGTAAAAACTGAATTCGGAGTCGTAAACTACATGTGTAGGACTATGTTATTTTATACAATTTAAGACCTATTTACTATGTACAATTTTGAAGTGACGTCATCGCATTAGTGGTGGGGATGATTAGACAAATTTTGGTTAGCGTTTTACTATCTACATGATATTCCTAATATAAGTACAAAATTTCACAACAATCGGTCCAATACTTTCGGAGATTATCTGTCTAATAAAAATCCGGGACGGCAGACGGACAAACGGACGGACAGACGGACAGACGGACGGACAGACAGACGGAAATGGGAGACCTATTTCTTCGTCTTCTAGGGGTCATGAAAGATCGAGAAAACGTAAAAGCAGAGAGTCGGCCGACGGACTCGATTACAATACTTCCTTTGCTTACGCTCGGGAAGTAAAAGTTTCATAATTATCTAAAAACACAAACAAATTCATATTTTATTATTGAATAAAGGAAGTCCGTTATTATAACATAATGAAGTAACCCATACGACGCCTATGGGTTTTCTAGTATGTACGGCGTTCAAATAGCGAAAAGCTTGGACGCGATGCCGCGAGTCCCGATGGCGGACTCCAGAACAACCTCGAAGGCGACGTTCGCGAATTCTCTGGAAGAACGCAGTTTTTTTAAATTTGAATGTATTAGTAATTGTAATGTTGTGACTGTATTTTCTAAAAGCTCATCGTCATTATTAGTCTGTCTATAGTAGAAAGACATTGTTTATAAGAGTTTATTATTTTATAGTTAATAAGAGAGGTCTGTGAAGAGCTTCAAACATTACTAAAGTCAAGCTTCAGCAGCTGAGCTTTAGGCGCGCCTCAACAAGCCAAGTTTTTGTTGTTTTTGTTTCAAATGCTTGACTTGTTGAAGCTCACCCACTTTCTCACAATCTAAGACCGCTGCAAGTCAAGAAGGAAGAAGTACTCACGAAACCCGCAATTTTTAAAACTCAGTGTTAGCACAGTCATATTTATTACAGTTATTTACGTACATTAAAATAAGTAAAAGCGTATTTTAAAAGTAATCAAAATTTAGATAAATGTGGCTTTCAAAAAGAGCATATGAACCGCCAGCGGTGACAATACGAACGATAGTATATGAACAGTTGACCCTACAGAGTAGACAACGTGATGTCCTGAGTCAAGAGCTTCGGTAGTTTGATGTTCTGAGTCGACAACTTCGGTAGTTTGATGTCCTGAGTCGGTAACTTCGGTATCTTGATGTTTTGATTCAACAACTTCAGTAGTTTGATGTTGCGAGTCAGTAGTTTCGGTAACTTGGTCTTCTGGATAGACAACCTCGGTATCTTGATTTTCTGTGTAAGTACAGACATAGGGTGTAGAATTAGAGCAATGTACATCCGGTCTATGGTCTCCTATTTCATTCGTAAAGTGTTTATAGGTAACAGGATATCCGTTGCTTCCACACAAATTCGCATACTTATCCTCCTTTATCAACAAAACCGGGCTGTTATCAGAACTAACACATTTGGGGCCGTCATCGAGGGAATCAAATGTAGCACGACCATTGTAAAGGCAATACCAGCCGCCGATGGTAATGCCTGTGGTAATGGCATAACAAAACTCTTTGTTTCTAAACTTGGCTTTTGCGAAGAGTACCAGAGCAGGAACCATCACGTATGGAAATCTTGCCATCACAATCAAACATTGTGCCGTTATGTATAATGAAGCGTCTGTCTATAATTTAACTTATTCAGAAGCGTCTTAAGTGATTTATGTCGTACCTTTAAAAGTAGCAATCGTAGTTCCACCTCTTCCTCCTCTTATCCACCATGTGAACGGTGATTTTCGAACTGAACGACTATTGCGTACTTGTTGTGATACTCTAGTTCCTAAGTCTTCCAAGGTACTTAAATTCTTTTTGCCTTGTTCGGCGACGTTTTTGGCGAAATTTTGCCAGTCAGTGTTCCTGAGGTCGGCGCAAAGTACTGCAATCAGTTTACGGAGATGTGGCAAAAGCTGCTGTAATTAAGACTTACCTATAAGGCACACAAACTGCGAATAGAATAAATTATAAGTTTGAGTGTTAAATTTATAGACTAAAGAATCATACTTACAGAAGAGAGTAATGATAACAAAAGCAGCTTTTTGAAGGCCATGTTGTATTTAGTGAGTCTAGCTAATGTTGGTATTTTTGTGCAAAAGGATGCTCGTAGACGTTACATTTATATGCACTGGAAGTGGACTTCCCAATGCTACGGCCAGAGCTCAAGATATTCGTGATTTGTGGGGTGCGGCTTTTTATCTTCTTGTATGTAAACAAACATAACTATCAGAAAATGTGAAATACATTTTTGATAAAACAAACAAATTAATTAGAACGCGATTTTTACGATTTTTTAATAAGAAGGGGGTGAGCTTTCAGTGAAAATTATCTCACCCCCAGAAGCGTGACCCGATGCGGATTTATTTGTCTCTCGTACATTTTTTTTTTTTTTCAAAATCTAGATGTCATCAAATTGACGATTACTTACATAGATAACAAATATCTACTCGATATGTCAAAACAAGTTAAAAGTGAAAGAAAAACAAAAAAACTGGAGAAGCTTCTTTCGTCAGAAGTTCGCTTGCCCTTGAAGTACAATCCCACTTTTTTGAAAAATTATAAAGTTTGATTTAAGATCGAAACGTAAAAAAATTGAAAAATCGAAAAACTGAAGAATGGATTGAAAATTTAATAAATAGAACAATCTAAAAACTGAAGAATGTGTAAATCGAAAATTCGAAAAATCAAAAATCGAAAATTAGAAAGATTTAAAATTCGAGTCTCCAAAATAGAAAGCTCTAAAAATCAAAATATCGAAAAGCAATAAATAGAAATTTTGAATATCATCTAAACTCGAGGAATTTAAAAATTGAAAAATCGAGGAACTAAAAAGGAAACAAATTGAAATTCGGATATCGAAAAATTAGAAATTCCATGACTTCGAAAAAATGAAAGACCGAAAAATAAAAAAAACATTTTCAATTAAAAAAATCGAAAATTGCAAAATCGAAAAGTGAAAGGATTGAAAATTCTGATTTGGGAGAATGGAAAATTCAAAAAATCGGAACGTAAAAAAATTGAGAAATCGAAAAACTGAAGAATGGATTGAAAATTTAACAAATAGAAAAGTCTAAAAACTGAAAAATGTGTAAATCGAAAAATCGAAAATCGAAAGTTATAATGATTTAAAATTCGAGAATCGAAAATCGAAGGCTCGAAAAATCAAAATATCGAAAAGTAAAAATTGACAATTTGAATATCATCTAAAAATCGAAGAACTGAAAAATTGAAAAATCGAGAAACTAAAAAGGAAACAAATTGAAATTCGGATATCGAAAAGTCGGAAATTCGATGAATTCGAAAAAACGAAACATCGAAAAATTAGAAAAAAGAAGTATTTTCACCAAAGTCAAAAAAAATCGAAAAGTAAGAAGATTGAAAATTCTGATGTCGGGAAATCTAAAATTTGAAAAGAAAAAAAATTGAAAAATCAGAAAAACCGAAGAATGGATTGAAAATTTGATCAACAGAAAATTCTAAAAACTGAAAAATGTGAAAATTGAAAAATCGAAAATTCGAAGCATCAAAAATCGAAAATTAGAAAGATTTTTAAAATTCGAGTATCGAAAATCGAAAGCTCAAAAAATCAAAATATTGAAAAAAAAACTGAAAATTTGGATACATATGATCTTAAAATCGAAAAATTGAAAAATTGAAAAATCGAGAAACCAAAAAGGAAACAAATTGAAATTCGGATATCGAAAAATCAGAAAAAAGAAATATTTTTATTAAGGTCAAAAAAAATCGAAAATTGAAAAATAGAAAAATCTAAAACCGGAAGAATGAATTGAAAATTTCATAAATAGAAACGTCTAAAAACTGAAGAATGTATAAATTGATATATTGAAAATTCGAAAAATCAAAATTCGAAATTTAAAAAAAATTAAAATTCGAGTCTCCAAAATCGAAAGCTCTAAAAATCAAAATATCGGAAAGCAAAAAATAGAAAATTTGAATATCATCTAAAATCGAGGAATTGAAAAATTGAAAAATCGAGAAACTAGAAAGGAAACAAATTGAAATTCGGATATCGAAAAGTCGGAAATTCGATGAATTCGAAAAAACGAAACATCGGAAAATTAGAAAAAAGAAGTATTTTCACCAAAGTCAAAAAAAATCGAAAAGTAAGAAGATTGAAAATTTTGAATTCGGGAAATCTAAAATTCGAAAAGTAAAAAAATTGAAAAATCAGAAAAACCGAAGAATGGATTGAAAATTTGATGAACAGAAAATTCTAAAAACTGAAAAATGTAAAAATTGAAAAATCGAAAATTCGAAACATCAAAAATCGAAAATTAGAAAGATTTAAAATTCGAGTATCGAAAATCGAAAGCTCAAAAAATCAAAATATTGAAAAACAAAAAAAAACTGAAAATTTGGATACATATGATCTTAAAATCGAAAAATTGAAAAATCGAGAAACCAAAAAGGAAACAAATTGAAATTCGGATATCGAAAAATCAGAAAAAAAAATATTTTTATTAAGGTCAAAAAAAAAAACGAAAATTGAAAAATAGAAAAATCTAAAACCGGAAGAATGAATTGAAAATTTCATAAATAGAAAAGTCTAAAAACTGAAGAATGTATAAATTCATTTATCGAAAATTCGAAAAATCAAAAATCGAAAATTAGAAAAATTTAAAAGTCGAGTCTCCAAAATCGAAAGCTCTAAAAATCAAAATATCGAAAAGCAAAAAATAGAAAATTTGAATATCATCTAAAATCGAGGAATTGAAAAATTGAAAAATCGAGGAACAAATTGAAATTCGGATATCGAAAAATTGGAAATTCTATGACTTCGAAAAAACGAAAGACCGAAAAATAAAAAAAAACATTTTCAATTAAAAAAAATCGAAAAGTGAAAAAATTGAAAATTCTGATTTGGGAGAATCGAAAATTCAAAAAATCGGAACGCAAAAAAATTGAGAAATCGAAAAACTGAAGAATGGATTGAAAATTTAATAAATAGAAAAGTCTAAAAACTGAAGAATATGTAAATCGTAAATTCGAAAAATCAAAAATCGAAAGTTATAATGATTTAAATTTCGAGAATCGAAAATCGAAGGCTCTAAAAAAATATCGAAAAGTAAAAAAATTGAAAATTTGAATATCATTTAATAATCGAAGAATTGAAAAATTGAAAAATCGAGAAACTAAAAAGGAAACAAATTGAAATTCGAATATCAAAATATCGGAAATTCGATGAATTCGAAAAAACGAAACACCGAAAAATTAGAAAAACGAAGTATTTTCACTAAAGTCAAAAAAAAAATCGAAAATTAAAAAATTGAAAAGTAGGAAAATTGAAAATTCTGATGTCGAGAAATCTAAAATTCGAAAAGTAAAAAAATTGAAAAATCAGAAAAACCGAAGAGTGGATTGAAAATTTGATGAACAGAAAATTCTAAAAACTGAAAAATGTGAAAATTGAAAAATCGAAAATTCGAAAAATCAAAAATCGAAAATTAGAAAGATTTAAAATTCGAGTATCGAAAATAGAAAGCTCCAAAAATCAAAATATTGAAAAACAAAAAAAAACTGAAAATTTGGATACATATGATCTAAAAATCGAAGAGTTGAAAAATTGAAAAATCGAGAAACCAAAAAGGAAACAAATTGAAATTCGGATATCGAAAAATCAGACAAAAGAAATATTTTCATTAATCTAAAAACGGAAGAATGAATTGAAAATTTCATAAATAGAAAAGTCTAAAAACTGAAGAATGTATAAATTGAATATCGAAAATTCGAAAAATCAAAAATCTAAAATTAGAAAGATATAAAATTCGAGCCTCCAAAATCGAAAGCTCAAAAAATCAAAATATCGAAAAGTAAAAAATTGAAAAGTTGAATATCATCTAAAATCGAGGAATTGAAAAATTGAAAAATCGAGGAACTGAAAAGGAAACAAATTGAAATTCGGATATCGAAAAATTGGAAATTCGATGACTTAAGAAAAAATGAAAGACCGAAAAATAAAAAAAACATTTTCAATTAAAAAGAATCGAAAATTACAAAATCGAAAAGTGTAAGGATTGTAAATTCTGATTTGGGAAAATCCAAAATTCAAAAAATCGAAACGTAAAAAAATTGAAAAATCGAAAAACTGAAGAATGGATTGAAAATTTAATAAATAGAAAAGTCTAAAAACTGAAGAATGTGTAAATCGAAAATCGAAAGTTCTAAAAATCAAAATATCGAAAAGTAAAAAATTGAAAATTTTAATATCTAAAAATCCCATTGAAAAATTGAAAAATGGAGAAACTAAAAAGGAAAAAAATTGAAATTCGGATATCGAAAAATCGGAAATTCGATGAATTCGAAAAAACGAAACACCGAAAAATTAGAAAAAAGAAGTATTTTCACCAAAGTCAAAAAAAATCGAAAAGTTAGATTGGAAATTCGGATGCCGGGAAATCAAAAATTCGAAAAATCGAGAACTCGAAAAATCAAAAAACTCGAAAAATAAAAAATTGAATTTGAATATGTATCTGAAAATCGAAGAATTGAAAATTTGAAAAAATCGAGAATTCAAAAAGGAAACAAATCGAAAAATCAGAAACACGAAAATTGGAAAAATGGAACATCTGAAAGATCGAGAATTCGAAATTAAAAGAATTGAAAACTCGAATATCGATAAATCGAAAATTAAAAATACGAAAATTCCAAAAAGCGGAAAGTCAAAAATTTGAAAAATCGGGAAATTCAAAAAGCGAAAAATAAAAAACTGAAAATGCGAATTTCGAAAAATGAACAAATCTAAAATTCGAAAAATAGAAAGATTGAAAGTTCGAGTGTCGAAAATCGAATACTCGAGAAATCAAAGATAGAAAAGTAAAAAAAAATTGAAATATAGAACATCGAAAGATTAAAAAGTAAAAAATTGAAAAATTTATAAATCAAAAATCAGAAGTTGAAAAATTGAGAAATGCAAACGGCAACACATTGAAAGCTCTAATATGGAAAAAATGTATAGCCGAAAAATAGAAAGAACGGAAATTCGAAAATTTAAAAATCAAAAAACCCAAGAATAAAAAATTCGAAAATCGAAATATAGAAAGAACGGAAAATCGAAAATTCTAAAATTGAAATTAAACAAATTGAAAAGCGGAAAAATCGAAAATCGCGTGCAATAAAGCATCTACCCACAAATTAATTTATTCAAAAAACTTTTAAGCAATTTGTCTTGTATCTTTAAAAATAGGAAGCGTAGAACCACGAATTAGGTTTTTTAACCTCAATCTGAATTTCATTTCTTGAACAGGTATAAGGCTGTCGTATAATTGTTGAAGGATTCTAGATTCTAAGTTATGGGTCAGGTTTTTGACGAAGTTTTCCCAGTAATTGTGGGCAGAAGTGTAATTGGGGTCAACGCATAGTACTGCAATTAGTTTACGGTTATGTGGACAAAGCTTCTGCAGGACTTCCCTATAAGGTACATAAACTGTGAACAGAATAAATTATAAGTTTAATTGTTAAATTTGCAATATAGGAATCATACTTACGGAGGAGAGTAATTATAAACAAAGTACCTTGACAATGATGTATTTGAGAGAGGCTAGCGAAGATAGCCGTGATTTGTTGGGTGCGGCTTTTTATCTTTTTGTATGCAAACAAACGCAACAATCAGAAAATGTGAAATACGTTTTTTATAAAACATACAAAGATGTCATCAAATTGACGGTTAGATGAACAAACAAATTTTGGTTATTGTTTTAAATAGCTACACGTTCGTCTAAAAGAACTTCCAGAATTCCACAGCAATCGGTTCAGTTTTGAAAATTACGTGATATGTGAAAACAACTCAAAAGAGAAAGAAAAACCAAAAATAACAAATAAAAATTGGTCTAAAGATAACCTAAATAATTAACGAAGACCAACTGACCAAGACCACTGGAAAAAAAAAAGAAAAATTACACAGTCCTGCTATTTATTACAGTTGTTTACATACAGTACAGAATGCAAAATCATAATAAATAAATAAAAACCTATTCTACTTCAGTATCTTGATGCGATGTTCTGTCAATGTACAAACACAGGGTTTAGTATTAGAACAATGTACGTCAGCACTATGGTCGTCTCCTTCCGCAGAAAACCGAATACCCCTTCTTCATAATCCACAAAACCATTCCTTTATCAACGCTGATACATTGATAATAAGCTTCGCTAAAATACAAATTAACAGGACTATTGGAAATGCAGTACCAGTTGTTGACAGTCACTTGTATTGGAAGACGACAAAAATATTCCTTCTTGTCTTTAAACCTAAATTTGCGGAGACTACCAGAACAGGAACCGTCTCTAATGGAAATGTTGCCATAACACTCAAACATGCCGTCATCTATAACGAAACGTCTATCTACAAATTTATTTATTCAGAAAAGTTTTAAGCGATTTGTGTCGTACCTCTGAAAATGGCAAGCTTAGAACCACCATTTCCGTTTTTTAAGCCCAATTTTGACTGCATTTCTCGAACTGGTCTAAAGCTGTCGTGCGCTTGTTGCGTTATTCTAGTTCCTGAGTCATCCAAGCTACCTAAATTGTTTGTGGCTTGTTGGGTCACGTTTTTGGCGAAGATTTCCCAGTAATTAGGGTCGGACCCGTTATTGCGGTCAGCGCATAGTACTACAATAAGTTTACGTTATGTTATGTGGACACAGCACACAGCCGCTGCAAGACTTACCTATAAGGCACACAAACTGTGAACAAAATAAATTATAAGTTTGATTGTTGAAATGTATGAAGGTTCATACTTACGGAAGAGAATAATGACAACGAAAGCGTCTTTCTGGACCCCATGATGTTTCAGTGAGTGGAGTGGCCTGTGGATGTTGAATTTATGGGTATCGGAAGTGGACTTCTCACGGCGAAGGTCGGTTCAAGATACCGATGAGTTTGTCAAACAAACTTGAATGTCAGAAAATCTGAAATACATTTTTTATAAAAATTTTAAATGGATGAGACTACGGTTTTAACGATTGTTACGGCGGTACTACTCAGAATTTCGACACAACAGTTGAGCATAACGAGTCTATTGTCGTCCAACTACCCTCTAGTTATATTTAGTTGCCTTAAAATCTTCTATTGCCACTTTTGTGGCAACAGATGTTGTCCTTTCGCACCAGACCGCATCAAGTAACAGTGAACTCTTATTAGGGACGTCGTAATGAATATTGGTCTGGACCACCGTAAGAGGGTGGATGTTGTAACTTCAACTGGTAGCGTGATTGCCGGTACTACAAACCACCCGAAAAAAACATTTTATGCACAGAGACGATCGAGTCCATCGGACGAAATGCCACTTTTATGTTTTCTCAACGTTTCATGATTCCTACAGTACGAAAAAAGTAGTCTCCCGTTTCCTTTATATTATAAATATCATGTAGATGGCTAAATGCTACCCAAAATTTGGATAACCATCTCCACCAACAATTTTATGACGTCATTTCATTGAATTGTATTTTGAAATAATTTTAAGGTTATGCAAAAATATACTCCTCTACTTGTAGTGTACGAATCCGATATCAGTTTTTTCGCTAAACGTTCAAATTTTCGCAAAAACTGTTCCACGGTCGTTTAAATGATTCAATTTTGCAATTTTTGGATTTCTCGGTTTTCCGATTACTTTAATTGTCAATATTTTGATTCTATATTTCGTTTTTTCAATTTTTTATTTCCTCTATTTTTCAAGTTCTTCACTTCCAGTTTTTAGGTTTTTCAAAGTTTTAACTTTATACTTTTTCACTTTTTGATTTTTCATTTTACAATTTTGCCATGATTCCATTTTTTATTCGAAAAGCTGAAAAATTGACAAATTAAAAACTCGAAAAACTAAAAATCTGAAAAAATTGACAAAAATAAAAAACCGAAAAAACTGCAAAATCAAAAAAGCGGAAAATCGAAAAATTGCGAATCGAAGAGCCGAGGAAACGAAAAATCGAAACACTGAAAAACTAAAAATTGAAAAATGAAAATAAAATTGTAAAGACGTAAAACTGCAATACTGAAATATCGAAAAACTGAAAAATTAAATACAGCGACGGTGAAAAATTGAAAATCGAAAAATTGAAAAATCGATTAAATGAAAAAGTTTTAAAGTTGAATACTGGAGATGGAAAAATTCTAAAATCGTAAAATTGGCAAAGTGAAAAATTTTAAAAATTATAATTATTAGATACATACTTAAAATGAAAACTAGAAAAATTACAAATCAAAAATTGAGGAAACAAAAAATTTTTCACCTTGAAAAAAGGAAAAATTAGAAAATCAACACTGAAAACTGCGAAATTGAAAAAATAAAGAAAACCAAGAACCGAAACCGAAATTTGCAAATCGAAAAATTGAAGAAATGAAAAATTGCAACATCGAAAAAGTGCAAATTGAAGAATTGAAAAAAAACAAAAAATTAAATATAGCGACAGTGAAAAATTGAAAAATCGATTAAATGAAAAAGTCTTAAAGTTGAATATTTGGAGATGGAGAAATTCTAAAATCGTAAAATTGGCAAAGTGAAAAATTTTAAAAATTATACTTATTAGATACATACTTAAAATGAAAACTAGAAAAATTACAAATCAAAAATTGAAGAAACGAAAAATTTTTCACCTTGAAAAAAAAAATTAGAAAATCATAACACTGAAAACTGCGAAATTGAAAAAATAAAGAAAACCAAGAACCGAAACCGAAATTTGCAAATCGAAAAATTGAAGAAATGAAAAATTGCAACATCGAACAAGTACAAATTGAAGAATTGAAAAAACCCAAAAATTAAATATAGCGACGGTGAAAAATTGAAATTCGAAAAACTGAAAAGTCGATTAAATGAAAAAGTTTTAAAGTTGAATACTTGGGGATGGAGAAATTCTAAAATCGTAAAATTGGCAAAGTGAAAATTTTTAAAAATAATAATTATTAGATACATACTTAAAATGAAAACTAGAAAAATTACAAATCGAAAATTGAAGAAACGAAAAACTTTTCACCTTGAAAAAAAGAAAAATTAGAAAATCATAACACTGAAAATTGCAAAATTGAAAAAATAAAGAAAACCAAGAACCGAAACCGAAGTTTGCAAATCGAAAAATTGAAGAAATGAAAAATTGCAACATCGAACAAGTACAAATTGAAGAATTGAAAAAACCCAAAAATTAAATATAGCGACGGTGAAAAATTGAAATTCGAAAAATTGAAAAGTCGATTAAATGAAAAAGTTTTAAAGTTGAATACTTGGGGATGGAGAAATTCTAAAATCGTAAAATTGGCAAAGTGAAAAATTTTAAAAATTATACTTATTAGATACATACTTAAAATGAAAACTAGAAAAATTACAAATCAAAAATTGAAGAAACGAAAAATTTTTCACCTTGAAAAAAAAATTAGAAAATCATAACACTGAAAACTGCGAAATTGAAAAAATAAAGAAAACCAAGAACCGAAACCGAAATTTGCAAATCGAAAAATTGAAGAAATGAAAAATTGCAACATCGAACAAGTACAAATTGAAGAATTGAAAAAACCCAAAAATTAAATATAGCGACGGTGAAAAATTGAAATTCGAAAAATTGAAAAGTCGATTAAATGAAAAAGTTTTAAAGTTGAATACTTGGGGATGGAGAAATTCTAAAATCGTAAAATTGGCAAAGTGAAAATTTTTAAAAATAATAATTATTAGATACATACTTAAAATGAAAACTAGAAAAATTACAAATCGAAAATTGAAGAAACGAAAAGCTTTTCACCTTGAAAAAAAGAAAAATTAGAAAATCATAACACTGAAAATTGCAAAATTGAAAAAATAAAGAAAACCAAGAACCGAAACCGAAGTTTGCAAATCGAAAAATTGAAGAAATGAAAAATTGCAACATCGAACAAGTACAAATTGAAGAATTGAAAAAACCCAAAAATTAAATATAGCGACGGTGAAAAATTGAAATTCGAAAAATTGAAAAGTCGATTAAATGAAAAAGTTTTAAAGTTGAATACTTGGGGATGGAGAAATTCTAAAATCGTAAAATTGGCAAAGTGAAAAATTTTAAAAATTATACTTATTAGATACATACTTAAAATGAAAACTAGAAAAATTACAAATCAAAAATTGAAGAAACGAAAAATTTTTCACCTTGAAAAAAAAAATTAGAAAATCATAACACTGAAAACTGCGAAATTGAAAAAATAAAGAAAACCAAGAACCGAAACCGAAATTTGCAAATCGAAAAATTGAAGAAATGAAAAATTGCAACATCGAACAAGTACAAATTGAAGAATTGAAAAAACCCAAAAATTAAATATAGCGACGGTGAAAAATTGAAATTCGAAAAATTGAAAAGTCGATTAAATGAAAAAGTTTTAAAGTTGAATACTTGGGGATGGAGAAATTCTAAAATCGTAAAATTGGCAAAGTGAAAATTTTTAAAAATAATAATTATTAGATACATACTTAAAATGAAAACTAGAAAAATTACAAATCGAAAATTGAAGAAACGAAAAGCTTTTCACCTTGAAAAAAAGAAAAATTAGAAAATCATAACACTGAAAATTGCAAAATTGAAAAAATAAAGAAAACCAAGAACCGAAACCGAAGTTTGCAAATCGAAAAATTGAAGAAATGAAAAATTGCAACATCGAACAAGTACAAATTGAAGAATTGAAAAAACCCAAAAATTAAATATAGCGACGGTGAAAAATTGAAATTCGAAAAATTGAAAAGTCGATTAAATGAAAAAGTTTTAAAGTTGAATACTTGGGGATGGAGAAATTCTAAAATCGTAAAATTGGCAAAGTGAAAAATTTTAAAAATTATACTTATTAGATACATACTTAAAATGAAAACTAGAAAAATTACAAATCAAAAATTGAAGAAACGAAAAATTTTTCACCTTGAAAAAAAAAATTAGAAAATCATAACACTGAAAACTGCGAAATTGAAAAAATAAAGAAAACCAAGAACCGAAACCGAAATTTGCAAATCGAAAAATTGAAGAAATGAAAAATTGCAACATCGAACAAGTACAAATTGAAGAATTGAAAAAACCCAAAAATTAAATATAGCGACGGTGAAAAATTGAAATTCGAAAAATTGAAAAGTCGATTAAATGAAAAAGTTTTAAAGTTGAATACTTGGGGATGGAGAAATTCTAAAATCGTAAAATTGGCAAAGTGAAAATTTTTAAAAATAATAATTATTAGATACATACTTAAAATGAAAACTAGAAAAATTACAAATCGAAAATTGAAGAAACGAAAAACTTTTCACCTTGAAAAAAAGAAAAATTAGAAAATCATAACACTGAAAATTGCAAAATTGAAAAAATAAAGAAAACCAAGAACCGAAACCGAAGTTTGCAAATCGAAAAATTGAAGAAATGAAAAATTGCAACATCGAACAAGTACAAATTGAAGAATTGAAAAAACCCAAAAATTAAATATAGCGACGGTGAAAAATTGAAATTCGAAAAATTGAAAAGTCGATTAAATGAAAAAGTTTTAAAGTTGAATACTTGGGGATGGAGAAATTCTAAAATCGTAAAATTGGCAAAGTGAAAATTTTTAAAAATAATAATTATTAGATACATACTTAAAATGAAAACTAGAAAAATTACAAATCGAAAATTGAAGAAACGAAAAACTTTTCACCTTGAAAAAAAGAAAAATTAGAAAATCATAACACTGAAAATTGCAAAATTGAAAAAATAAAGAAAACCAAGAACCGAAACCGAAGTTTGCAAATCGAAAAATTGAAGAAATGAAAAATTGCAACATCGAAAAAGTACAAATTGAAGAATTGAAAAAACCCAAAAATTAAATATAGCGACGGTGAAAAATTGAAAATCGAAAAATTGAAAAGTCGATTAAATGAAAAAGTTTTAAAGTTGAATATTTGGGGATGGAGAAATTCTAAAATCGTAAAATTGGCAAAGTGAAAATTTTTAAAAATAATAATTATTAGATACATACTTAAAATGAAAACTAGAAAAATTACTAATCAAAA